TTATTACAATTCTATATAGGTGGCATTAGGCCCCCGTCATACAAATACTATATATGTGGCGTTAGGCCTCCAGCATACACTATTATTACAATTCTATATAGGTGGCATTAGGCCCCCGTCATACAAATACTATATATGTGGCGTTAGGCCTCCAGCATACACTATTATTACAATTCTATATAGGTGGCATTAGGCCCCCGTCATACAAATACTATATATGTGGCGTTAGGCCTCCAGCATACACTATTATTACAATTCTATATAGGTGGCATTAGGCCCCCGTCATACAAATACTATATATGTGGCGTTAGGCCTCCAGCATACACTATTATTACAATTCTATATAGGTGGCATTAGGCCCCCGTCATACAAATACTATATATGTGGCCTTGGGCCCCCAGCATACACTATTATTACAATTCTATATAGGTGGCATTAGGCCCCCGTCATACAAATACTATATATGTGGCCTTGGGCCTCCAAGCATACACGATTATTACAATACTATATAGGTGGTCTTAGGCCCCCGTCACACAAATACTATATATGTGGCCTTGGTCCCCCATCATACACTATTCTATTATTACAATTCTATATAGGTAGCCTTAGGCCCCGTCATGCAAATACTATATATGTGGCCATGGGCCCCCATCATACACTATTATTACAATTCTATATAGGTGGCCTTAGGCCCCCGTCATACAAATACTATATATATATGTGGCCTTGGGCCCCCATCATACACTATTATTACAATTCTATATAGGTGGCCTTAGGCCCCCGTCTTACAAATATAACGCCGGCAACACTATAACGTGCTACTAATAACTTACCGAGTGCTGCACTGGCGCTTGTCTTGTGTTTTCCTATTTAATGTTATATCTATGCCTATGGGTAATACAATTGGCATATCTCATAGTAACTTGTTTTAGCATTACTAAAATACGTAAACAAAAAGAACTTTTCGGTCGCGGAAGGGTTATTGTCGGAGTGAGCTGACGGGGGCTGGAGGCCACCGGCGGGGGACGAGGTGGCCTAAAGCCATACTTGGATGTAGATATCTGTCGCTTGCGATACAGGACGACTGGAAATACGTCACGCGCGTCATCGTGACGTCTCCGCTAATAATGCAATCATTTTTAGGGATGTGTTTTGCAGATTTACTTTTGTGCGATTTGTGCTTTACTAATACTGATTAGACCTCATCAACGTATTACTCTAGGTATCAACTAAAATAATGTATTAGCAAAATTAATATTTGTTATTTTTGCTGAAAAGCTCGACACGTATTCTTTAATTGCTTTGTGTATAATAGTCCAGCAACCCTACAGCAATATGCCCCTGCTCACTTCCATAGGTGTGCTCTCAGATGCAATTCTCGTAAACTTGACGATGTCCGAAAAGAAGACAGTGACCTCTTCGAAGGACTCTGGGGGAACCACCCGCCCATTCTTCAATTCATCAGCGACATACCTAAGGAGAGTGATAACCACTGCATGGATTTACTTTCCCATCTGTAGCCTTCCTATAGCGACATTAACTCCGCTATTTCAAAAAGCCATACATCGAAGGACGTAAGACCATAGATCTGTCCGCTCATAAAATCAACGATTGAGCAGTACTGATGTTAAAATGCAAAATTCAGCACACATGTAGGTATATCCTAAATACAATATACAATGTAAAACCTAATCATGGAAAGCAAAAATAACTCTCTCTTTCTTTCAGTCCGCTTCCTCCCGTCCCTGTCCCTCCCTGCTCCTTGCCCTCTCCCTCTCCCTCTCCCTCCCTTTCTCTCCATATACCCCTCACTCTCTCACTCACTCACTCACTCACTCACTCACTCACTCACTCACTCACTCACTCACTCACTCACTCTTCTCTCTCTCTCACTCACTCACTCACTCACTCGCTCGCTCGCTCACTCACTCACTCACTCACTCACTCACTCACTCACTCACTCACTCACTCACTCACTCTCTCGCTCGCTCGCTCACTCACTCACTCACTTACACGCACGCACACGATGCATGTATTATATGTGCTCATATCTATGTTCGATTATTGAAGGTCCTTCATTTATCTCGAAAACGAACAATGTCCATAGGTAGCTGTAGCCGCTCACCGCGGCAGCATCCTATAGAGAAGCATGTCCGTCTTGTTTTTCTCCATCAGTAAATCGCTAGTCCTCGCTTCCACCGTCTTCTCTAGGTTGGCGGCGTACGAATCTATCCGCCTAATCATGTTGTCGATTATAGAGATGGGCCTGCGACAAATTGGAGCATCAATCATGTGTGAGAAGCTCGTGCAACGCGAGGCGGTACCTAGCGGAGTTTTTCGCCTGCAATTGTACTGATTGGCACGCGTCTAAGATGTGGTATACACGTGTCTATAATAATTATAATAATTATAATAATAATTATTATAATAATTATTTCTAGTCTCCTCGGGAAGTTGTTATTATTCCTTTCTGTAGCTTATACCAGACAGGGGTCGCCACTCCTCTCTGGCATGTCTATACCTATCCTCGATAACTATACGAGCGTGTATACGGTTGTCTAATTCACATGGGACTGACGATATAGCAACATTATATTGGCATAATAATTAGAAAAGCAGCAATTAAAAGCCTGATTGTAACGTACCTGTCACCGGTTATTTTCTTGAGCGATCTTCTGATGTTGTCAAACGTGGGCCTCGCTTCTGTGTCCTCATCCCAGCAGTCCTTCATGAGTCTACGTAAACGTTCTGGGCATGTGTACTGAGAGCCTACTCGTGGCCTCACCAACTCAATCCCCATTTTGATTAGCTCAACAATATCTGCAACGCATTCATGACAATAACACGAGCCGCCGCGAATAAATGCATGCCACGCACAAATACGTGACTGGCTATTATACGTAATGGTTGTCTATTGGTTTCGAGTTATTTAGAACGAAAGGCGTAATACCATTCGGCTCTGCGCTGATTATGTCTGCCATCATATCGCACGGATGGCGCTGCGTGACGACCTCGGCTAGAATGATGCCATACGAGTAGACATCGCCCTTTTGCGTGCCATACGCTGCTACTCTGAATGCTCGCAATAATTCAGACGCTGTCCACAACATCCCTGTAAAACAACGGTAATGACAGAAAATACATTCGACATTCTATATTATACAGCCCGCTGTATAATAGATACGGCATCTATATTAAAAATATTAGAGCGTTATCTAGTGTCACGATAAGGCTGCCTAAGAAATTGTTGCAATTCAAACACATGCTAATCCCGCGACGCTACTCTAAAGCCGAACGAGCTATCCCAGAGTTAGAAACAGACTATTCTACAGCTGGGTTTCGAAATAACAGCAAACACACAATACTGCGAAACACTGTAACAACAGATAAAGTAACGAAACATGAGTACCTGCGTATTTGCGGTAGTCCGTTTCCTCGATGAGGTTGTTTTGGTTGGCACGGACTTCACCCAGCCCAAAGTCTGATATCTTGCACATCCAGCGCGCGTCAATGAGGCAGTTGGTGCTTTTGAGACGACCGTGTGAATGTAGCGGACTGCTGTGTATGAATCTCATGCCCTAGAAAGACGCGGCTTAGGCTTCACCGATACGACATCAGTGAGACACCAAGACTACTACGAAACTAATATGCAACACGCACTTACTCGTTTTCTGTCAGAGAATGTCTTCACGTGGAATTTAAAAATTTGAATTACAGTAATTATAGTATATTAAAGATATCTTGAGGATTATAGTACCAGCATAAAACCGTCATAACACCCCGATAACGATGTTGAACGTAACGTAATGTAACGCAAATGTATATATAGCACAACACAAGAAATGTCAACGCAACGCACCGCAACACAGCATAGTAAAATATAGCATAACAAAGCAAAACCTAAAATTTCATATTAAAATGAGCGTCACAAAGAAAACACTATACAGACCACATTGCAATCCACGCATATAGTATATCTGTGATGGTTCATACTAACCATGCAAATGTCCGTTGCTATGGACAGTATGAAGTCTTGGTCCAGTTTGATATTGTCGTTTTTGATGACATCCTGTTAAAATGACGACATGGTAGCTTAACACCCATGAGACGAACATCCAGTTTAAACATCGATATTCTGAAACACATGAGAGTCTGACACTGGCCGGAGACGGATGGAAAAGACCACCGGTAAGATTGAACTATGTGAAAGCATAAAGGTGCGCCTACCTGTATGCTACCCTTACTACAGTAGTTTGTCAATATGTATATCTCCGGATCCATGACGAGTCCGATGAATTCATTTATATTTTCGTGGATCATGTGACGCATCTGCGATAAAATGCCAGCATACGCAATCTCTATTCGTACTATACCTGTGATGTACCTTTGCTGCATTTGTGCTGATTTCTTACATCATCATTCAGCAACCGCGCATCGTTATAGCAAGCAACATCCGACACATCTAAGGCAATCACTGAGACATCTAGACTCACCCAGTGATGTGGATTCCATATGAGATGCAGTCACCGTGTCACCGAACAGGCAGTACCGAGGCATCTTCAGTCCCACCACCCCAGCCACGCAGGGCCCTATACCACGATACGGCTGGTTGAGAGTGAATGCAAATTGGGATAGAAGCTGTTGTGGGCATTTTGGCGCTATAACAGCTTTTGAATATCCTAGCTGCACTAATTATAAAGTGCGAAATTTCGACCTTACAATAGCATCAATCAAATCTCGTTGTCACCATCAGCAATGCAAGGTTTCACACTCCGCACTATAGATACAACTCATCTGGCACGCGCACTACCATGCTAAAATCTCTTTTTTACAACTTTTCACAAACAAGTGGCTATTTCCATCGACGTTTTGCTTTCTACGTTTTCAAATAGATAGACCATCATTATAAAAATGTAATTTTTTAACTTCAAATAATACAAACTATATACGCATACACAACGTAGTGGCGCGTATATATTCACCCCCGTGGCACGGAAGAGAAGGCGAGTCAAATGCGTACAGGCAATTCAATTTTCTTGTTGAAATGAACTCCGACTAATAGCCGAATAGTTTGTAGGTAATCCACGTCCTATTTTACCAATTGCTTACCAATCGGCCCGTGTAATACAAGTTACACTTAGCTCTATTAGTACTATAGCCCTGGTTGCCACAGGTCTGTTCTAGAGCTGGCTTCTAATTATTTATGCTTGTTGTAAATGAGATTACCGGTTGCATCGGCCGTGAAGAACGTGGTCGCTAAGTTTGTGCTACATAGGGCCTACCTTGGGCGCTTGAGCCGTTTCAATAATAACATGATAGTAAATAAACGGAATTTGAATTAACTACCAATGTCTATTTTTTACGAGTTTGTGCATAGTGCCGTGCGTGCGATAAGATTGTGCGTTGTGGGAAGAGTATTTGTATGGCATTTCCGTGGAATTATTGCATGATGGAGAATACACAAATATTTAACGTTTAGTAGTGAATGCAATCTATATTTAAATACTGTCCGTTTTTTTAAGTGAAACAGGGTAAGTGTCTGTGCTACAAATGTATGTTTCCGCAGCATCGAGATCATCGCTTACTAGGGTTTCCCGTAATCACGCCCCCATCCATCCGTTCATCATGGTCATGTATGTGTGTATAGGGCCGGCTACCAATGAGCGAAGCTATATACGCCCGTATACTCGCTGCCAGCCGCGACGGTTCTTATCAGTTGACCCAAAACCGGCAACAGTTACTCAACAGTTACGGCAACAGTTACGGCAACAGTTACGGCAACACTTACTCAAGATTGTTCTTTTTCGGTTCTAAACAAATTCGCTCATGTATATTACGCTTACGATATCCGTGCAACGCGCAAGTTACCCTTGCGTTATAATTGTAATAACTGTTGTATAACAGTTGTATACTCGTTGTGTAACTGGTGTTTAACTGCGCATAGATTTGGCGTTTGCGGAATAACGAGGCGTCGTCTCCTACTCTCACACGTTCCATCGTGCGGTTGTCGCTCCACAACTTCTTTCCTATGAGCCATATATTACACGTATACCTGAATGAACTCCCATGCGCACTTTTAAGAGCTCCCCTTCTCGGTGGGGCATGTTGAACGATTTGATCGTGTGAAGGAGGTTCAGGGCCATTGAGCATATCTCAGCCGCATGCTGGTGACCATTCTTCTTAGGCAGACCGCTGGCAACCATATAAGCATCACCGATCGTCTCCACCTTGAGTTTAAAAAAAAAGACATTTAGGATTTCTTCAATATTCCGTAAAGCCGCTTGAACTTTACTCTCGAGGATGCTTTTAAGAATGCTTTTAACAATGTTTTTAATGATAACGAAAGAATGTCCTCGTTTTAGCGCATGAATACAAATTTGGTAGCGTTACACTTGGTGGGGAAAGTAAGGACACGGATGATATAGTGAAATGACGAGAAGGTGAGATTAAGATGATACGACCGAGGTATAAATTAGTTGTCTCACTCTTCTCATACTTCACCGAGAATGCTCCATTTTCTATACCTTGTACACGTCGTGTTTGTCTATGACGTCATCAAAGAGTGTGTACAGGGCAGTGAGCAACTCGACGATCTGTGAATTAAAAAATGTCTCAAGCGTTTAGCGTGACTTTTAATTGTTACCATGAACTTTACCAATCATTATGAAATTTAGGAGACAAGATGAACAAATGAATTCTCAGCTTTAGCCAAAGGCGGCTGAGCAGTAGAACACAAACAGATCACGTGCACGTGCGTGCAGTTTATGTGGAAGCACACTTTAGTTTAAAGGATTTGTGTCGAGCTTTTAAATGTCAAAATAACCATATGTCACACTGGGATATATCATAGATATATTTATATTCTTCTAGTATTTCAAATAATCTGGCAGAAACTTCACGCAGTAATGTTGCTACATAGGCTAACATATGCGAAATTACTAAGCCCCGATAACATATGCTGTAAGCAGGGGCGGATTAAGGCTCACTGGTGCCCTAAGCACTGACCAATCTTGGTGCCCCCTCCTTTCCACACTGACCCAGTCCATTTTAGTTGTTGACCTGTCTGACCAAATATACAATGCAGGTTGCAGCAGTACAAAAATTTATGTAGGATTTCAAGGAGGGTGGTGATAAACAGGCGGGGGGTATGGGGGTCCTCCCCCAGAAATTTTTTAAAATGTAGATCGCAGGAGATGGTATTTGAGGCAATTTTGAGCGTACATGCCTGTTCACCTTCATTCTGACTACGAGTCAATCTATTTGTTTTTTTACACGTTTCAGTTGTGAGAAAGACCTCTCTGTTGTGCAGTTGGTGACCATTAATGTTAAAAATATTCTTAAGGCAATTTCAACATTGGAAAGGCACTCTCTAGTTTGTCTTCTGTAATTGTGTTGTAAAGTTCCATGTGAGTAAAAGATGTTTTCTTGGTTGTTTTAAACTTATGAAGAACATATGAATAGAACTGCTGAAGCTCTGTAGACAAAGTGTCGTTCATGTCATCTGGATAAGCGTCAATGAGTGTCTGACAAGTCTTTAAGCACCTTTCACTTTCTGATAATTGGGAATTAGCACCTTGTTAGGTGGCATTAGGGGCTCCTTGTATTGTATTGTATTGTTGGGGGCCCCCTGTGGTACACCTGGGTAGTACAAATCTTTATTCGTTTTCTTTTCTTTTCATCTTTTTCCCAACTTTGTGGTGCCCCTTTTGGCCCTGGTGCCCTAAGCACGTGCTTAGTCTGCTTAATGGTTAATCCGGCACTGGCTGTAAGCGATTACTCGCACGTGACGTCACATCTGTCCTGTCAGGTAAGTAGAAGGATGGTACTTCCGTTCTTTCAATGCAACACACAAGTATACCGCACGCACGCCGCTGTGCACAAACAACACTAAAGAGCAATACGAATAACAAGAATAACTCTCTCGAGACGAAGAATACTTTGCAAAACTTGTGCATTTAAAATGAAGAGGAGTTATCCTGGCATAGATTTACCGCCCCCAGCTATCTTCCCTGCCGCGTTTCCTCATTCCCTCTCCCCCGCAGCAAGCTATATTATGAAGTTTTCCTCAGACGGCACTGCACGCCTAACACGGTGCGCGCGCATGCGCAATATCTCCCGAGAGAAATCGTATTTTGCAAAGATTATGCATTTAAAATAAAGAGGAGTTATTCTGGCATAGATTTATATAATAACATTCAGTTGACATCATTTCAGAAATAGAAGGAAGACCTTGCATGTAAGGTCCCCGCTGCGTATACCAGCCAGTACACAATCTGGCTACGTTAGTGTGTTAGCGCATGCGCAATATCTCACCAGAGGACTTATATTTTGTGATGAATATGCATTTAAAATAGTTAGGGGGTATCTCCGCATAGATTTCCCTAATAAACTTTTATCAGTAGACGTGTGTTTATAATTAGGAGAGCGCCCTAGCATGTAGGGTACAAAACACCTACTTTATGCCCTCGCGTCCTTCCCCTTGCCTCCCCTGTCCCTCGCTAAGCCTTCTTCTTCTTCTACCGCTCCAGCTATCTTCCCTGCCGCGTTTCCTCAGTCTCCCATCCTCTCTCCTCCTCAGCAAGCTATATTATGAAGTTTGCCTCAGACTGCACTGCACGCCTAACACGGTGCGCGCGCATGCGCAATATCTCTTGAGAGAAATCGTATTTTGCAAAGATTATGCATTTGAAATGAAGAGGAGTTATTCTAGCATAGATTTATATGATAACATTTTATCAGTAGACATCATTTAAGAAATAGGAGGAAGACCTTGAATATAAGGTCCCCGCTGCGTATACCAACCAGTACCCAATCTGGCTACGTTAGTGTGTTAGCGCATTCGCAATATCTCACCAGAGAAGTTATATTTTGTGATGAATATGCATTTAAAATCGTTAGGGGGTAGCTCAGCATAGATTTCCCTAATAAACCATTATCAGTAGACCTGTGCTTATAATTAGGAGAGCGCTCTAGCATGTAGTGTACAAAACACCTACTTTATGCCATGGCGTCCTATCCCTTGCCTCCCCTGCCCCTCGCTCATCCTCCTTCTTCTTCTACCGCCCCAGCTATCTTCCCTGCCGCCTTAATCAGTATTAGTTAAGCACAAATCGCACAAAAGTAATCTGGCAAAACACATCCCTAAAAATGATTGCATTATTAGCGGAGACGTCACGATGACGCGCGTGACGTATTTCAGTCGTCCTGTATCGCAAGCGACAGATATCTACATCCAAGTATGGCTTTAGGCCACCTCGTCCCCCGCGGTGGCCTCAGCCCCGTCAGCTCACTCCGACAATAACCTTCCGCGACCGAAAAGTTCTTTTTGTTTACGTATTTAGTAATGCTAAAACAAGTTACTATGAGATATGCCAATTGTATTACCATAGGCATAGAATAAAATTAAATAGGAAACACAAAGACAACGCCAGTGCAGCACTCGGTAAGTTATTAGTAGCACGTTTATAGTGTTGCCGGCGTTATATTTGTAACGGGGGCCTAAGGCCACCTATATAGAATTTGTAATAATAGTGTATGATGGGGGCCCATGGCACATATATAGTATTTGCATGACGGGGCCTAAGGCCTCTATATAGAATTGTAATAATAGAATAGTGTATGATGGGGGACAAGGCCACATATATAGTATTTGTGTGACGGGGCTAAGACACTATATAGTATTGTAATAATCGTGTATGCTTGAGGCCACGCCACATATATGAGTATTGTATGACGGGGCCTAATGCCACCTATATAGAATTGTAATAATAGTGTATGCTGGAGGCCTAACGCCACATATATAGTATTTGTATGACGGGGGGCTAAAGCACCTATATAGTACTGTAATAATAGATTAGTGTATGATGGGGGACCAATGCCACATATATAGTATTTGTATGCCGGGGGCCTAAGACCACCTATATAGAATTGTAATAATAATGTATGATGGGGGCCCAAGGCTACATATATAGTATTTGTATGACGGGAGTCTACGGCCACCTATATAGTATTGTGTATGATGTGGGCCTAAGGCCTCCTATATAGTAGTGTATAGTAAGCCTTGGTTGTAAGCTATACCGCCTCCAGCAAAGAAAAGTAAGCTGCATCACTTGCACAGTGTATTATTGCGCCAGCGGGGCCCTAGGCTCCCGGTGGCTAAAGCCCACACATGGATGTGGATATCTGTAGATTGCATAATCAGAGGGGACCTTACATGCAAGGTCTTCTCTCTATTTATTAAATGCTGTCTACTGATGGAATGTTATTTATATAATCTATGCTAGGATAACTCCTCTTCATTTTAAATGCATAATCTTTGCAAATACTTTCTCACGGGAGATATTGCGCATGCGCGCGCGCACGTGTTAGCGTGCAGTGCCGTCTGAAGCAAACTTCATCATATAGCTTGCTGAGGGGGAGAGGGATGGGAGACTGAGGAAAACACATGTGAACTGATAAAAGTTTATTAGGGAAATCTATACTGAGATTCGCCCTAACGATTTTAAATGCATATTCATCACAAAATATAACTCCTCTGGTGAGATATTGCGCGCATGCGCTAACACAGCTAACGTAGCCAGATTGTGTACTGGCTGGAATACGCAGCGGGGACTTTACATGCAAGGTCTTCCTCCTAATTCTTAAATGATGTCTACTGATAGAAGGTTATTATATAAATCTATGCTAGGATAACTCCTCTTTATTTTAAATGCATAATCTTTGCAAAATACGATTTCTCATGGGAGATATTGCGCATGCGCGCGCACCGTGTTAGGCGTGCAGTGCGTCTGAGGCAAACTTCATAATATAGCTTGCTGAAGAGGAAAGGGATGGGAGAACTAATGAAGC